CCACTCCCACCCCACCCCACCCCCGCCCGGCATGAGAATTTCAAATTCAGGATCCTGGGCTTATTAAAATCAGAGTCTTTGGCAGGGGGACATGGGGAGTTGCATTTTTGACGAGCTCCCAGGTGAGATGTCCCAGGCATAGGTGTCCCCAGCAGTTGGCCCTGCAAGGACCTGTGAGCAGGTTAAACGGGGAAGCGACACTCTTTTCTCACCAAAGCCACCAAAGCAGGGCCTGGAGAGACAGCAGGGGTGGGGTCCAGCCTGTCCGGGTGGGGTCTGAGGGGCGCGGAGCCTTGGTGGGCGCCCTGCCAGCCCACCGCTGACTGCTCATCAGAGCCTTCCCTTCAGAAGGAAGTGGACAAAGAAAAAGCCACCAAAATCTCCAGGGGAACTTCTGATGAACATGGTCAGGGGGAAATAACCACCAAAGCAATGTTTCACAGCATATGAATTAACAGAAAGCCCAGCTCCTGGGACCAGTGAAATGTTGAAGCTTAAAGGAGTTAAACGAGCTAACCCAGCCCCTCAATTAACTGAGCCGACAAATAATGGCGGAGCCGGAAGACCTGGTCTTTAATGTTAGCTTGGGGGCAGAAAATGCCGCCGGGATTCCTCAAGTCAAGACTGGAATCCCCATCGCCCAGCACAGTCACACCACAGAAACGGGGCGACTGCTATTTATAACTAAGTTTAGGGAGCAGGGTTCAGAGGGGCTGGCAGCCGTCTCTGCTTCTAGATACCACCAGGCATCACCAGCCACTTCTGCTGACACAGGGTCACTCCTCAGGCAGACAACAGCCCCAGGGGGGGATCATTCTCACCTCCACATGGGACGGCCCCAGTATTGAAAGGGAGTTCAGAAAAGCTGTATGAGAACTGAAAGCAGCGGGAGGGAGGTGTATCTTGACTGAGCTACAATGTGGCCCACTTCAAATCATCCTATGTGAGAATGTCCCCATTTAACAGTGAAGGCAACCAGGACTCCAAGAGTTTAAATCCCTTGCTGGATGAAGGCCAGTCACCTAGCAAAGGTCAGAGAAAGGACTGGGAGCCGGTGGTTTATTCTGGGTGGGGAGCTCAGGCACTGTCCCCTTCCCCATGCCACCCCTCAGAACCCTGACAGACGGCCGCACGACCCAGCGCCTGCCCCCCCTCTTTCTGTCGACAGCGACAGCACGTGGTAATCACACTGGTCACGCCTCGTTCATAGCAGTCACTCAGCACGCTGACTGCTGGACAGAATGAAGCAACTGCCTGATGTTAAAGCCAGCCTGGAAGACAGACCCAAAAATAGGTGTGTTTTGGGTAATAAATCTGAGGATTTGGTATTAAAGCATGCAGGTCAGCTTTTTACTCCACTTGGTCATGTTTTAGCCTTTATCGACTATGGCAGAAGGTAATAATCTGAGTTCACAGTTTCCAAGGCAACTGGTCTATCCATGCTGGTCAGTACAAAGTTGGAGGGGGAAAAAATGAATCAATCAATTCAGCAATGTTCAAAGAACTGAAGAGGAAGGACTGAAAACCCAAATAAATGCACTGGTATCAGTAAAAATGCCTGCTTGGATGCAGGCTGAGTCCGATTATTAAAGGACTTACAATTGTGACTATTCAAAATAAGAATCAGAATTCTGACTTTTAAAGCTTTGCTATTAATAGTGAACAACTACTCTATCATAAACTCAAACTACCAAACTATAAGAAATACAGCTGTCATGCTGGGGCTCAGCTCCCAGCAGATGAACGCGGGACTCAGTGAGGCCGAAAAGGAACAACGGAGCCACAGATAGGGGGTTCATACCACTACATTATGTTCTCCATGACTGCTGGTAGAGACATGAGAAGCAAACATCTGTCAGCACCCCCACAAGGGGTCTTCCTGCCCCACAGTCTGTCTGGCGGCTGGGGAGACACAGGAAGTAGGAGCCGCAGGACCTGCACCATCCGCAACACCTGTGCTTGCTAACCAGCTGCCGCAGGTATATGCAAAACAATAGTAGCTAATGGCCCACTGGTTACAGCTGGGGGCCATCTAATAAAGGAGCCAGCACCTTTTCCACGTGAGGCCGAGAGCCTGGAATCTGCCCTCCTGGCCCTCTGCCAACAACAGCTTTCAATTTTTTTCCTCAACCCAGAGTAAACGATACATTTTGCATCTCAGCCTAGCAAATTCACATACACACAGAAATCCACACATACAGAACTATAAATTTCTCGAAACAATACTACCCTTACTCTGTACATCACACTGCCATATTTTCTACTCTATTTTCATCACTTACTTAAAAATACTAGTTCTGACCCAATAAGTTAATTTCACAACTCACCAATAGGTTGCCATCCACAGTTTGAAAAACACTAACATAAAAACATACATAGAGGAGGCAAATTTATAAGAATATTTAGCTCTCTGGATCTGATGAGATTGCCTTCAAAGCACACTTGTGGGTACCTTGGGATAATTTGATTAAATAAACGAGTTTCTGTGGCTGCAAGATTACAAAAACGTGAGTAGTCAACTCTTAATTATCCACAGCACTTGGGGTAGGACACCTTGCAGATAGTTACAACAATTTATATTTGGCTTTAGATGAAGATTTTATATATGCTGGACCCACTCTCACTCTGAAACTTTCCCTAAGGACCCCAGCACCTGCTACCCACCACCTCTCCAGCTCTGTTCACTGTGGTTTCTCCTCTATACAGCACTTCCTTTCAATGTAACAGCAGTATATACACTGCTCTGTTCACTAGCCATTGCCTATGGAAATTCTAACCTGAGAATACGCCCCTTCTACCTTAGTGGGCTTCAAAGATGTTTGGGTCACACACATATGAAAGGAAGACTTGGGGTACATACCACATATATATATACACCATATATATTATAATATATATTAAGTAGTTGAACCATATGAAATTATCAATATTGGACCATTTTCAACCTACAAAAATGAAAATGTTTCATATGATTCATTGTAATATAAATTATATATATATACACACATGCCTTAGCATTTTAAACACCTAAGGAGAGGTTCATAATTAATGATAGGAAGGAAACCAATATTTCAAACTATCTTCCTGAAAATTTCAAAATTTTCCAGCCGACGTCCTGTCATCATTGGTTTTGCTTTCTGTGATCACGCTGCAGATCTCATACCAGCGGCAGGAAAACTGCCGGGTCCACCGTTTTTTTGCTTTTCACGTGCGCCTGAGTTACTGCTGTTACCTTCAGGCTGTGCTTTCTTGGCAAGACCCTTCCTATAGAATTCTTGGCTTCTAACTATCTCAAGGGCCAGCAGGATCTCAAATGTTCACAAGGTTAGGCAGGAAGCAGCACAACCTCAGGCACCCAACAACAAATATGTAAAGGACACGTCAGGGCGTGGCCAGGAGGCCAACGGGATATGCTGTCTCCGCTCCAGCTGAGAGCTGCTCTCTCACCGTGGGGGCCAATGTTGCCAGATAGCTGCACATATTTTAGAGACGCTGACGAGTCAGCTTTGTGTGTGATCACTACTTTTCTATATTGGCGATGAAATCCAAGTTTTCAAAATTCTGTACAGGTCAAATAAAACGTGACCCCAAGACAAATTCCATCTGCAGACACCAAATTGTCCAAGTCACACTCACGTCTTAGGTGGGCCCAATGCCTGGCCTACCATGGTGCTTCTTTGCTGTTACTAAACAAAGCAGATAAATTAATCCATTCAATTTGCCACCCACTGGGCTAGACAATAACTTTTAATAAACAAAAAAAAGTATGATTGCAAACATGTGGGCCATTTTCTCTTATTTTTCTTAATATTATTAGTGAGAAGTCAAAAGCAAGACTTCCTCCAGCTCTCCCTCTTAGAAGAAGGGGGGAAGCACCAGCTGAGGCCTCAAGAGATATGGATCCTAACCCTCGCTCTGCCATTCATTAGCTGTGACACAGAAGGATGTCACAAACTGCTGAACTTCAGTCTCCTTAGCTATAAAATTTTTGGATTTGGAATAGTCGATTTCTAAGATTTCTTCTAGCTCTTAAATTCTATTAGAAAGAGCTCCCACAGGCCAAATTTAGAACAATTTGAGAACCAAAGAGAGTAAGAGGGTAATTTGACTGAAACGCATTAACAAATTCTTAACTCCATAACGATAAAAAGAAAATTTTGTTTTTAAAAAAATCCCCATTTGCCATCATTAGAGGATAACAACTTACTGAAATTAGTCAAGAGAAAGAACCAAGCATTCATCCTACCTTTTACATAACAACCCTAGTTCAGGATAACCAGTTACCTGCAAACTATGAAAGAAAGCCCTTCTTTACACAGGAATGCTAACTTAGAAATACAGGAGGAATATTTGAGAAATCCCCATTGTGAAACCCCTAATAACATAACTGATTCAGGCAAGGATGATCAATGGATACTAAAACCATTA